ATGCCATGCAAAGGCTTGGGGAGCCACTATTTCACTGTCATCCAAATGAACCACAGAGGTTCGGGGGCAAGAGGGTAGACAATCACGTGGATGAAGAAGTAGAGAAAAGTCAGAGTTGTCACCATAACACCAAACAAAGAGCAGAAGTTGCACTATTCAGATGTTAAGACTGATAATTGGTTGATTTATAAAAAATGAAAGCACAAGGGCACTTCCACATCCAAGGAAAATGAAATTCTTATAATACAAACAATTCCTGAAGATTAACTCATGATAAAAAAAAAAATGACGTATCACGCAGGGAAATGGACCTCCATCCTCATGATGGTTTGAGTTTGCTACCGCTGGGAGACCCAGGGGTTTCTCTGGCCTGAGACAAATAGTTTCCTCAGCTTGGGATTCCCACACCACAAAGAAGTCTAAAACTGGAATCCAAACTCACTTAAATTGTAAGCTTTCAATTCTGAATATAGAATTGTTATGTCTTCAATTGACATTCACCCAAGAACAAAATGAGCTGGGCTTCTCTTATTGGGATTTTCCAGTTCTCCTATGTCAGGTGAGAGATCCCTCCAGAGTCTCAGGTTTTCATGGTCCCCAAGTAAAGGCTTTTGGCCCCGGGAGGAAGTTAAAACCCTGGCCCGGAGTCATTGGTTCATATCCTCAGAAAATTACAGCACCAGAGCCCAGATGGAACAGTCTGATCTTAAGTTCCTTCTTCATTCTGGCACCTGGGGATTTTTATTTTCTTTCCTTTAAGCTCCGAAATTTATTACTTTAAAACTTATATCCAGAATCTCCATACACAGGTTTTCAGAAGGGGATTTCATACTTGATTAGTATCTGTGTTACTGAAGTCCTTCATTAATTTTTCCCAGAAGAAAATTTCACCTGTTAGTCATTGGAATAAGTGGTACTTACATTAGGCAATGAAATATAATTTCTAATTAAATATTTGATTAACTTAAAAGACATTTCCATAAAATTGGTGTTTCTCTTTTGACATCTAATCAAATATAAACTAACAGGAGACTGACAACATGAATTTCTGCTGGGGTCCAACCCCAGCAGGTCCAGGGGTCCCCAAAGGTATGGACGGAGTTGGCAAAGAAGGAATGACACGGAGACAGCGTTCAGTTGATCACCAGCCTTGCCAGGATCTCTAGCCACAATCTCCAGCCAAGTTCTGTAGCCAGGTTCGGTTCAGGATCTTTTGCCATGTTCTCTCGCTAGGCTCTGTGTCTAGGTTCTGTGTCCTGTAGTCTTGTTACATCTGTATTTATACCAGTTGATTCCAATCCTATCAATCTCTATTCCAAAGATTAGGGCGTTTCTTATCTCCATTCCAGGGAGTAAAGATTATGTAGCTTAAGCATGATTGCTCGTAGTTAAAGTGATTAACTACCCGCCTAGCACTTAGTTAAGGGGTTTTATTCCCTCCCTAACTTCAGGGAAAAATCCCTACCTGGGGACACAACCTTTCTCCGAGAGGTGACCTTGGTTAAAACACATAGCGCCAAGAAGGTGAGCAAACATATTAAGAACAGTATGCCATATATGCCAGGTCCCTTGAAACAGCAAGGATGGACCGGCTCCCGGCAAATTTCTTATAGAGAAATCAGGCAGTCTTTGTTTAATCAATGACATTTCTTGGCTGACCAGAAAGAAGACAATGAATAAAAGTAACCTTGTAAATGGAGACCTAGTAAACATAATCTAACTTGATTTTCTAGGAGGCTGTATCCAACCTCCACAACAAAGATTATTAAATTAACTAATTCACTGCTCTGGTAGATTATATCATTCTTCATTAATATTTACTCTTTTCCCCACACACCCCTGGAAGGAGCAGTAGCCTCTCCCACCCCCTACCTCATGGTTTGAACTTCACCAAGTCATTTGCTTTGGCCAATGAGATGTTAGAGGACATGATCCAAGCAAAGACATGAAATATATTGGCATGACTGGGATTGCTCCTTGGTGCTGGTGCTGTCAGAGGTAGGGTTGTCAGTGAAAATGCAGAACACAGCTCACAGAAGTGGAATTTCAGATAAACAATGACTACTTACATGTCTGTTACTAAAAAGTATTTGTTGTTTATTTAAAAACAGAATTTAACTGAGTTACCTGTACTTTTATTTGCTAAATCTGGCAACTCTAATTCAGAAAAAAGTTCAAAACCAAGTCATAGCCAAAAGGTAAGGCCAGCCTTAAATAGCCAAAACCCAACTTACTTGCAGACACGTGACTAAGAAATAAATACTTGTTAGTGTATACTCTGAGAGTTTGTGGTTGCTTGTTATGCAGCAACAGCTGACTAATGCAACTGTGGTGGCAATGAGAAACTAGCTTAATAATCAATCAGTATGAAAAGATTAAGCAGATAGTTTTCTATAAAGAAAATAAAAATAAGGAGTGCCCAAGTGTTTGTGCCAGGGTTGGTTTTATTTTAATAAACTTTCTGAAGGACATGGGTTAATAAATTTCTGGGCTTATAGATAAAATTACGTTTTTATGAATAATACAAAGTGAAATACTATGTTATACTGAAGGGCAATCCCATGCATTTTTGCAAGCATATTTGTTAAAACACAGGCTTAAGAGTTGCACATGCTTAAGTTGAATCCAGACTTTGAGCTGTGTAACTTTGGGCAAATTAGTTAATCTCTATAAGTTTCAGATTCTTCATCTATAAAGTGAAGGTAATAATGCCTAACTCGATTGTTATGATGATTGATAAGGTAGGTAAGGATACCTACCACAGTCCCTGGAACATACCAAATACTCCCTAATCATAATTTAAAGTTCTTACACAGTGGGAAGAAACATGGAAGCTGACCTCTAATATCAGCAAACAAAACATTATAGTACTACAATAAACTGTACTTAGAGGAAAATGGGTGTAAGCTTCCAGTAAGAGCCTGGTTAGAAAATAAAAGAAAATACCTTATAAAACTATGCTATATGATATCAGTTCAAAGGACTGTTTTGGCTGAGGCCCAAAATGGCCATAGAATGTTGGTCTTAAATAAAAAGGCTATTTGTCAACAAATCAGAAAATATTGTCCTCATACCAGATTATAATATGACTTCGCCTAGAATATTGCATGTAATTCTAGCCACATCATCTCAGAGATTTAATCTATACAGTAAAAAAAAAAATCAACTAATGTTATAAAGAAGCCACGAGAAAATCTTGCCTAAGGAAGACAGAGAATGAACTTGGTATGATTCACATCTACATCTTCCGGAATATCATCAAAGCAAAAATAGAACTAATTACCCATGACAAGAACAAAAAGCCTTCCCCTTGACGCAGAGAAGGTGATTTTAGGACAAACGACTATTAAAAAGCATTGGCTTGGTGGTCTGCAAGCTCTTGGCCCTCCTTTTTCACTTAGAGTAAGTGGGATTGACTGGATGGATTTTTTTCTCTTTTTTTATTTTTATTTTTTTTAAATATATTTTATTGATTTTTTACAGACAGGAAGGGAGAGAGATAGAAACATCAAGGAGAGAGAAACACCGATCAGCTGCCTCCTGCACACCTCCCACCGGGGATGCGCCCACAACCAAGGTACATGCCCTTGACGGGAATCGAACCTGGGACCCTTCAGTCCGCAGGCCGACGCTCTATCAGCTGAGCCAAACTGGCTACGGCTTTTTTTTTTTTTTAAATTCAAATCCAAATAAAAGTGTTGACCTACTTCACTGGTAAGAAGTAAATTTATGGCACTCATTATACAGGTAAGATATAGGGTGAAGGGACAGATAAATAACAATGGAAGGAATGAGAAAGCACATGCCTACCTCACCGTGCCATGACGAGTTCCCAAGGGAAACCAGACTACACTTTGAGACTGACGTGCAGAAAAGAAGCGGCCCCCACCCCGTGCCCCACAGTCCAGCTCTGCTGATCCCCAGAGAGAGACCTCTGTGCTCATGCACAGGTCTGACTAGCTGTCATGGGATAAAGCATTTCCCTAATAATCTTCCCGTATCACTTTTAATGACACTACTTACTTTAAGGCTTGAGTCGGTCTCTCTTCCATCCCATGGCTCGGGTGGAGCCTGGTCAACATAAATCTCATGGAGGCTGCTCCCTGAGGAATGAGAAGACCTGGATCCCGGACTTAACTCTGTGACCATAACCCCTCCTGTAATGAGGGGATAGGCCTACACATCCTCCAGTCCCTTCCTGGATTGCACACATGCAATGAGTAATCCCAAATAAATGACAAACACACAAAGTGCTACAGATCCTCGGTGAGGGTTTTGCAATCAAGGTGGATGTTGAGTTGGGGTTGGAAGGATGAGAACGGCATCCCAGGTGAATGTGGAGGCATTACAACAGGTAGGACAGCCCAGGGGTGGGAGGAGTTACTGAACCCGGGTGGCAGAGATCCAGGGTGCTACGTGGTCCTTCCTCCTGAGAAAACCTGCCTTTCAGTGAGTGGTGGGAAGAGGCATCTGGGAAGCAGATGACTGTCGGTCGGCACTGGGGTGCTGCTATTAACCTGGTACTGTCACGTGCATGCGTGTAGAGGAGGCAAGTCACTGTTTGGGGAGTAATTATCAGAGTCTTTGAAGTCCATGAATAAAATACTAACTTTAGGGCCACAGGGCAGAGTGATTAGAAACTATACTGGTTTAGAAAGCACATTCTTTTCTCTTTCATTTAGAAATATTCACAAGGAAATTCATCAGAATCTAATCCAATGTCTAGATTTGGTGAGAATAAACAATACAGAAAAAGGAAAAACATTTGTGGTATGGGTGCATGTACAGGTATGAGGCGAGGGTAACCAAAAGCACCATTAGTCAATGCTAAATCCTCACTTAATTGGCCAGGAAATTAACCAGCATGTGACCCTGTGGCCTGGGGGTCATCTGTACCAGGCCAGGGTATATAAAGGACCCCGCAGGGGAGAAAGACATTCACACCTGAGAACACCCAACTCCTCTCACCAGTCCAACCCAGCCCAGCCCCAGACACCACCATGACCGGCTCCTGCTGTGGCTCCACCTGCTCCAGCTGTGGGGGAGGCTGCTGCCAGCCCTGCTGCTGCCAGCCCTGCTGCTGCCGAGACCCCTGCTGCTGCCGCCCCTGCTGCTGCCAGACCACCGTGTGCCGCCCCGTGACCTGTGTGACCCTCTGCACAGGCCCCATCTGCGAGCCCT